CGAGTTGTAAGGGGAGGTTTCACATGGACAAAGTCTATTGCCAATCCCGTCTTAATCATTGAGATGATAGTTAGAATGAAGGTAATAATATTTTTTCCTTTTAAGTGCAGTGAAACATCACTTTAAAATGAAGATATTTTTACAGATATATTCATGTGAGAAAAGAGAAAAACCTATGAGCCAATAGTCCCATGTGGAACCAACGTGGCACAGAAAACAGACGAAAAAAAGACACCATATAGGAACTATATTCTCTCTATGTTACTGATAGATATATATACTACAATACTGAAATACCTATATATGCATGCAAATGTTAGAGATTACTGGTTTGACTCTTTGCAAAGACCAAATATTATTCTGAGTGTATTTTACAGGATAGAGTTCAGTTCAAAGCATTTTTATGCCTATGAAAGTATCTTCATTTCTTTTCAGCCCCTGCCTGACAGCTTAGTCAAGACAATTATTTATTTCCCCTGAGGACTAGTTTTCACTTGGGAAAAAAGTGCCATTTTACTTGATATTAGCTAACTCATGGTAAGTGGCAGTCAACTACAGAAGGCTAAATTCAAGTTGTCTGTTCCACCATTATTTCACAAGATAAAATAAGGAACATAAAGAAAAATAGGAAGAACATTAAAGTATATAAAGCACTGAGTACGTGACTTCCCTGGTGTCATTATAAATATAAAGACCAGACCTAGCACTTTGTAGATTCTAGATATGGCCACTCTTTGATGCTTTCTGGAAAAAGTGAAGAAACTAATTAAAAAACAGTTTTCATTTTCACTTAAAAACTATACCATTTTGTTGTCTACTGGAAAACAATAAGCAGAGAAGCATATTTTTAAATCTCTGCAAAAGACAACTAAGGAAACAATGTGTCCTGTTTAATTCTTTATTTTCAACATCAAATACATTGATAAAAATCTTGCACCAATCAGGTAGCTTACCATATTTTTTATTTAGACTTTTTTAGAACTTTTTTTAGGTGCAAAACAAAGAAAAAATACCTCACCAAAACAAAGACATCAATAATTTCATATGCATCAGTGAAAGAACAGAATACTTCAACAAATATATTACGGTAGCTGAGTCTATACCAAAGAAAGGACTTTCCATTGACAGACTACATAGTGCACACAAAAGCGTTAGTTTTATAGTACATACAATATGGTGATACATAAAGTGGCTTAATAATGCAAGTCTCATGACCAGCAGTCTATCCCTTCATTTTTCAGTGGGCATTTTCTGAAGAAACAGACTTCTAATTATAGGCACACAGGAGTATAGAGCATACTAATTTGCAAGTTGGCAGCATATAAATTTTTTAATTTTTTGTTTGTTTGTTTCTTAGGCACATTTGAATGCAAAAGAATTAATTTATTTTTCTTGTAACACAGTGCAAAACCAAATACCCTTTATGGGCAACAATCATTTTGAATACAACTTTCAGGATATAAGGCTATCTACACTTGAAGACTGAAAGGGAATGATGAGTGGACAGGGTAGGACATTACTATTGGGGAAATACTAATTTAAAACTCTCAGATCAATTACAGATTATGCTATAGTTGCAGGTGACAGCAAAGACTGATACCATCATTAACATCACCCTTCTTTTACATGTTGAATTTCTACCTGTAAAGCCATATCACAGTTGTAGATAGCATTGAAAACAGGCATCTCTTTATTCAAAGTAAGAAATGCACTTCACGTAAGTTCAGCTGAGAATACCTTATGTACAAAATCCCATTAGCTTTAGGTTGGGTCGCACTCTAATTTTAAAGCAGGATATTATATACACAAGAGAGGCTTGTTGTGTTGTTATCAAAGCCTGTGATAAGAATAAAGCCCTAGTGAGGCAGAATTTTGACTTTGTTGGTAGTTTATTTATTTTTAAACATTTGGCACAGCTCTTAAGGAATCAGTCAGCATCAATTGAAATGGATGGAGGCTCCAATACAAACCCTGGCTTGGATGAAAGGGATGGATTGTAGGGTTTTTTGTTTTCTTTTTTTTCAGTTTGAAGTCCAGTGACTTGCTGACATTCCTTGCAGATTATTTCTTTAATTATATTTTAAAATTATTAGACCCCTCAGTGTACAGAAGGCGAAAAATCATTAAGTGATGTCACTGAAACATAATAGTAAATTTGCCACAAACACACACCAAGAAACTTTCATTAGACTACTTTACCCCAGTACAAATCCTACTGCCCCAACTGGGAGTTTTACCTGAGACAAAGTCTGCAACATCAAAACATGGCTCGAACCACTATAAACCAGAATAGCTTTCACATATTGGAAACTCAGACACCACTAAGTGCTACACATGTCCCTTATCTCCTCTCGTGCCTCCCAAGCTTTTCATATTTCAGTAACAACCATGGTCTCAAGCAAAGCAAGTTCATCTGGTCTATTTCTGTTTGGCTTCTGCTGGTATTACATACATTACCTATGTTTCTAGAGGGTTTTCTGGTTTTTTGACTTTTTTGTTTTTTTTAAAAAAAGTCCATGTATAAACATTACAAAATAATTCTTTTGTTAGCTGTCCAGAGACATCACTGTGAATGTTTTGGTAAAAGCATAATTAGCTGCCTTGAAAAGTTTCCTTTTTTTTTTTTTTTTTTAAAACAAGCTATATATTTTTATTTAATATCCAGCACCAGGTATTCAGGTAGTACTGGTTTGTCAGCTGCAAATATAAAGTATATATGTATATATATATATACACACATAAAATAGCATCTTGTGAAATAACAATTACCAAATGTCAGGCACAATTGTTTGCATACACAAGAGCATAATTCAGAATTACATATGAAAAAAGTTGCCATTTTTGTATCATAGACTTTCTTTAATTAATTGAATAGCTACATTCAGCTGTCTGATATGTGGATAATCATCCATATAGATAACTTAGGGAAGTTTACTATATTCATTAAGGTGCTGCTTCAATTAAAATCTCATGAACAAGTTAATGACATGGATCCTGAAACTGCCCCAAGGTAAATGAATGTGTTACTGGGAATCACTCATTATTTCTATGTTGCCCTTCACTGTTGTCATCACAAACATGGGAGGAGTGGTTGAAGCTAAATTGTTCCTAGCAAGGGCCAAGCCTAGGATAGCATGCATAATTAAGACTGTGAGCTGACTGATAATATTTTGTATGTTCCAAGACACGTTATGATACCGTTCTGCTTGCTGCATAACACTTCAAATCATGCTTTTCCAGCTTAACTGGGAAAATCTGTAAAGTGTAATAGTACCTGCCCTATGTAGGTACCACCAGAATCTAAGCCTCTGTGAATTGCTCTCCATGAACTATGTTTTTTCCCCTAGGCCAAATTTAGACTTGAATCGATGTAATGAACTGTTTTGGGATGTAGGAAGGGAGGCATTTGTTTAAACCAATTTGCCTTCCAGCTTATGAACTTGATCTGTTCTCTGTCATAGAGAACACCAAGTTGCATGTACAGTATTTAAAGAGCAGCTCTAACTCACACTGGGCTACAAATGAATGATGAAAGTGTAAGCATGTAAATTTAACTACAAGGATTCCTGTGCTCCATCCAGATCTTAGCCTGCGCTCATTTCAGGGCATTCATGATATTTCTAACACATCTGAAAACCAACTGCTAAAAATATGCCAAATATCCTTTTTCTTTCACAGCATTTAGGAACCCTCCAAAAGCCCTTAGGTACCAAATCAACGCACACGCGCACACGCGCACACACACACACACACACTCACTCATGCACTCTTGCTGAATACACAAAAAGACAAAACCTTCACCACATTCAGAAAAAAAAAGACACTATAGTATGCATCAATAAAAGTCCTATTAACTTACAGTGACTGCTTCACATGTTTAGGCTTGCACAGTTTTCAAGGAATCTTCTCAAATGTAGGTAGCATCTAGCTTTAGACTTTCAAACTGTGCATATCCTCAGATATGTACATGAAACTATTATAGACATCATTATGTACATTCACTAAAGAATTGAATTTTTGACTTGGAACACAAACTTGTCCTATGCCTTGCTGCCTTTACAATTGCTATGTAACTTGGTCTCACTGCACACAGGCTCTGCTTGCGTGACAGGGAGCGTCATTAGACATAGGCGCTCCTGTACGGCGTAATGTATTTCCTATATTTAGTTACTACAGGATATTCCAATCAACATAATCCAACATAAAGATTTCAACCATAGCAGTAAAAGAAGCATCCCCAGAACCCTTTCTCTAGCGGTGTGGCCAGCTGCTGTGGAGCAGCCTACACATATGCTATGAAATGTCCTCACTGGCATGGTGGTCACTTCCAACCAGCTCTTGGAATAGTCCCTGGTCCATGCTAACTCCCAAACTGCACCTGTCAACCAGAAGTGTAGATAACACAGGCAAAGTTTATCATTAGACTAGTAAAATATCCCTGCAATATGTAATAATCACATTCCAGTATCCAGCAACGTTCCCTGACAAGTTTAATTTTCTGGCATAGAGGCAGTCAAACAGCAGCACCAACTCTTACTTTGAATAGCACACCATATGAATTACTTCCATCTTTCTCCTTCGTGTCTTGCTGAAACTCTAGATGTCAATGGACCTTTTGTATATTTACAGTTGGTCTGAAGAATCAAATTAATCCTTATGAATAACAGTTGCAGACATGCATGGAGAGAGACAGATTTTTCTTCCTGGACATTAGTCCCAGAGTCTTTACCATGGCCGAGGCTCCTTACCCAGTTCTGGTGTCACAGGTGAGCTGGGTCTTAACGGTGATTTCAAAGCATGCCAAAATGAGAGCCAAAGAAAGCCAATGCAAGGCAAAGCCTGCTGCTCTGTCTGCAATGCCAACCCTCCTGCACACAGCTAGGCCACACTCTTCTGAGTGGGATGGGACCATCCCACCCTGCTGTGCCAGTCTCGCACTGGCATCATCATGCCTTGCTTTGTAGCACAACAAAGTGCAGGACAGCAAGACCTTTTTTATAAATAGTGTTAGAACCTGCTTGTGTGTGAAGACATTTTTTTAAGACCTGATGACTTTTTTAATCATCTGGTCTGATTTAAGAGTAATTATCTATGTTATCACTGTTTGCCACGTTGCCCTGAATTTACACTGTTGAGCAACAGAACAATTTGACTTTGTAGCATCAGACAATATAGGATGCATGCAATGCAATTCATCTAGAGGATGTGGTAAGGGTACCTAAAAGTTTGATCAGAAAGAGCTTGTGAGGGAGTTGTCCCCTGATGTAAGCCAGCAAGGTAAGACAGTATTATTGTCAGACAGGGGTTCCTTTCTACTGTAGGGAGAATCAGAAATCTAACTAAACTACCAAGGCAGTCAGCAGCAGTGCAGTTTCACTATAGCACACTAAGATGCCAGTTAACTTTCTATTTATCCCCCTGGCAAATAACCAGAATCTCTACCAAACTGCTTCAAAGCTTCAAGCAAGTAAAGGATTAAGCTAGCTCAGGATTTGGGGTGGATATCTACAAAGGCTACCACTCATGAAGATACCAATATTCATGGGTGGTATGGCCTATCAATTTATAGTAAAATGAATGTATGGTTTATATTAGGACTTACCCAACTTACATGCAAAATTAAATAAACACACTGCAAATTTTAAATCAAGATAGCCTGACAATCCTTGCTGGGTGTCCACAGCAATGAAATGTCTTCCATTAGGATAAGCAATCAATTTAGGCAAGCACTTGACAAACACTCAAATGGAAAATGCAGGTGTCTGTTGTCATTGGAGTGTTTTCAAAGGTGGCACTATAGACGAAATGAAGCATGAGCTAGGTAGTACACTGCTGGGTTTCTCATACCATTATATATGCTGACTTCTGTTTATATTGTATTCTGCATATTCTCCTCTTCTTTGCTATTTACGTAAAAAGACTGCAAGGAATGAGATGAAGCTGATGCAGTTGTCAGCTGGCTCAGGTTCTCCTCTTCCATTGGTGCAGCACTCCTGGCTGCTGGAGCATGCAGTCGGTGAGCGTCCAGCATCTCCAGCAAGAGATCATAGAGTGGAACTACATTCTTACACTTCATATTGTACAGGTGCTCCATTCCTTTGTTGCTGTGGGTTGTAATGAAACAACAGTTATTTTCCAAATAAGCTATGGTGAAAAAAAAGCTATCAGTTAATAATATTTGTTAGGTTCATATAAATTCTATCTTCTACAAAACAACTAACCTAAACAATGCAGTTGCTGTACATGCCTGCTACAGTTAAGCAGAAAACAGCACCTTCAAAGAACATTGCAGACTGCCCATGGACAAGTTGCCTTCTAAAGGTGTCTCTTTTGCTCTTTTTCACCTAAAAGGTAGCCTAGAGTGCATGGACTCCTAACATAGCCACTGTGACTAAGTGGATGGGATGAATCTTGCCTTTCCATAATAAAAAACCGTAATTTTTCTTTACTAGAAAATAAGCTCAACCAGTTTTTAGCAAATGCTCACCTGTAATAGCATTCATTCACAAACTATGAAACAATTAACTTTACTGTGCATCTGAAATTTCTATAATTGTATAAATTCTTATTAAAGGGGAAAAAATAAAGTATGATTAAGACAAGGACAAAGAAACTCCACAAAGTCGCACAAGTGAAAAAAAAAGCATGCACACACCCTTGATTTTTTCCCAAAGACCATCGGTCCAGAAGGTAAAGTCTGCATGTTTCAGCCTTAGTAGCTATGATGTGGTGCTTACTCTAATTTTATTAGCTGAAATAATGAAAATTAAAACCTGTGTAACAACATCTCCTGTACCTTCATAAAAATAAAATCTATACTGTATCTTTGTATAGACTTATTACGTTAACATCACTGCCTGTGAGCAGTTACTTTAAGAGCTAATTACATTTGGGAGAATGATTGCTGCTATTAACAGTGTCTCAGACAGCTCACCTCTGATTGGAATCCCCTCTAGACTGGAATTCTGTAGTACTGCATTTATCCTCATCAATACAATACACATAATGATCCTAATCTCTTTTCTAAAGTGATTTGCAATCAAGGCACTTGTGAAAATTGGCTACATAAAAGTGATAGTTTTATTAAATCTTGTGTTAGCCTTGTAGAGGCTAAATTTGCAGAGCTAGGCTACTGCTACTTTAGTATTCTGCTTGGTACTTTTCAAACACCTGTGTCCAGGTCTGGGGTTCTCAGCCCAATAAAAACATAGACCTGTTAGAACAGGTCCAGAGGAGGGCCACAAAGATAATCCAAGTGCTGGAGCACCTCTGCTATGGAGACAGGCTGAGTGAATTGGGGTTGTTTAGCCTGGAGAAGAGAAGGCTCTGGGGAGACCTTATAGCACCTTCCAGTAATTAAAGGGAGCCTATGAGAGACCTGGAGAGGGACTTTTTACAAGGGAGTGTAGTGGCAGAACAAGGGAGAATGGCTTTAAACTGAAAGAGGGTAGGTTTAGATGAGACTAAGAAGAAAATATTTTCTAAGGGTTGTGCAGCACTGGCACAGATTTCCCAGAGAAGTTGTAGGATCCTCCATCCCTGGAAGTGTTCAAGGTGAGGTTGGATGGGGCTCTGAGCAACCTGGTGTAAGTGGAAGGTGTCCCTGCCCGTGGCAGGGACGTTGGAACTAGATGATCTTTAAGGTCCCTTCCAACCCAAACCATTCTATGATTCTATTATTCTAAGATGCACATAAGATTAAAAGCAGATACTGCTTACAGCACTACCAAAACAAAAGGCAAAAGAAAACTAAAATAAACAAATGGGGAAAATATTTACTCCATTCACACCATAATCCAACATAATGTTTTGCAAACATGTTTCATACAACTTTATGGAAAATACACTTTAGGCTTTTTTATTTGTCACACTTTGGTTTTTTGAGGGTTTTTTTTTTGTAACAGCTCTTCACACAGTTTGCACTCCCACCTGTGAAGTAAAAGTATGCACGTGCATTTGTGACACCTCCCTTGCACAGGCCCAGCACAGGAGTGCTGACTGGGTGCTTGCTCTCACCTCATGTGTCTGATGTGAGAGAGGATGAGGAGGAGCTGAGCCAGTCGTCTATGTTGTTGCTGCAGAGAAAGACCTGACTTAGCCATTAAGTGTATCAGAGTGTCTGTGATTTTGTCCAGGACACGGTGAATATAGTCTTTCTCTTCCAGAGATTTCAAGGTGCTGGAAAGAAAAGTGTACACACCTAGAGTAGGAATGAGAAAGAAAACAAACAAACCATAGACAAAAATTACTTTGGCGAAGTCAGACTTGCCCAACGTACGCCTCGTCTCTGGCTTCTTCAGCAGAAGGAAGAAGATGATGCCTCTTCCCTGCCTGGTTCTGGACCAGGTCTGGATCAGGTGGTGAGTGACACTTGAAGGTAGACCTACCCATAGGCTGTGTTGTTGGTCACTCAGCTCTGAAACCTTGAGGAGATCCTGTTCCCATTGAGAGCTCTGCAATACTTACCAACCAGCCTAAGCCTTCATCAGTTTTTGCCATTTGCTCTGCTGTTTAATGTTTGATTTTTGGTGACTTGCTAGTCAGTCTAGAACTGAATAATATGTTACCAGAAACCATGTATACAAAATCTGAGTTTGCTTACACTAGCTCACCTCAGCAAAATCCTGCAAACCAAGCAAGAGCCTTGAAAGGTGTGCTTCTTCAGCTGCAAACCCAACTCTCTTTTAAAAACCATGTCCAAATCAACCTGTGCAAATTTTGCTGTCTTGCATCACTTGCTGCTTAAAGAGAGCGACCCAAAGGTTCGTACCCAAAGGAAATTTTTCCAGAGAACAAAACACTTTGAAACTCCCCCTCCAACAGGCCCTCTGCATCTCCTATAAAACACTCTAATCCAGGCATAAGAACTTTTGCCAGTAGTAATTCTTGTGTGCATGAAGCACATCAACTTTCTAAACTGGGAAATTCTAAACTATTTCAGGCAGTTTTATCTTGATTTTTTTCTGGATGACAACACACAGCCAATGTGAATCAGGTCACAACAACACTGTGCTGCCAAAAGGCAGCTGTTGCATTCAGCATCAGTTTTTTAATCTTCTGGACTGAGCCAATAACTCTAAACAGGTCATATTACCATAATCCAGTCCTGAGGCACCAAAAGTTTAAGATGTATGTGCAGTAATACAATAAAACTGGCTTCATTATAGTATGTTTATTGTCCTGTGTCTATAACAGACCCAACAAATCCTGTGCTTTAGTCCTTCTGTGTCAGCTCACAGATTCAAGAAGATACCTGGGTTTTGTCCTTGGAAGAAATGGTTTCTGGATTTACATTAGATTAATGGCTATCCCATTGGATTTGAAGAGAAGAATATTTTGCCGTATATCAGAGAAGTCAGGGGAATTGAGATTTTGTCATCTTCTTGACCTACCTCACCTCTTCACGTCATCTGGGTACTTCAAGGACCTGACACCTAGAACTACTGTAACCTGCAAAGAGGTTTTATGACTTTGGGTCTTCTGTACTAAAAAGAAATCTACATTTCTGTTTGTGAATGTCATTGTGAGTGTCTCTGGGAGAGACAGAGTAAGAAACTGCTTTATAAACCCAAAAGGCTAACTCAAACACAGCACAACATCTGTAAATCATCAGAGTTCTTAATTTTGGTAATTATTGCTGCAAATTTGATATAGATAGATATTATTGTGGTCTCTTTTCTCACAGAGCTTTTTATATATATTATTATTTTTACTGAATTCACCAAACAGAAATAGCTCCAGGGGCTTTCCTCAGCTTAACCTTTATCAGCTAACTCTGAACCACCCTCATATATGCCTATTGACAATACCAAGCTTGACAGCTTAGCAGGTATCTGTAGGGTCAAGATTCTTAAGTATTACTGACAATACACCATCTACTAGAAGGAAACATTAATCTCATAAACCCACAGTGCCTCCAGTGAAGCTTACTTCAGCCACAGGAAGCTATTGTGCTCTTGTAGCATCACCCCATAGTTTTATGTCATTGAAACCAGTAAAAGAAAAAATCACTTAGGAGAAATTGTTTCTCACCTAGGTCTAGTCCAGAAGCTATTAAAAAGTATAAATCAAAAAAAGTACTCCCCACTCTCCCAAAACTGTAGAGACTTCAGGCAATTGCAAGTCAATAACTGTCAAGGAACATGGTTTTCCTTTCTGCACCCACCCTGGCAATTGCTCCTGCCCCAGGCCCCTGACCAGAGATTTCCCCAAAAGAAATGCCAGCTATCACGCACAAGCAGAGTTTTCAAACGAGAGTGCAAAAAATTGCCTTAGCGAAGTGAAATCTAACAGTCTCAAAGGTCCTTCCAAGCTTAAATTGAATAGCTACAAGGTTGTTCTCCAGTTCTTTCTGTAGGTCAGTACTGTAAAACATAATAGGAGCAAGAATAGAGAAAGCACCACCCTGCAAATAAGCAAAACCAGTTGGCCCATGCCTATAACACATACCTATGCACTGAACAGGATCCCTTGGGGACTGCAGTGCTACTGTGCAAGCCCTTGGCATGCAGTGATATAATGTCATATGTGTCACTAAATACAGTTATGCATTTTTGGATACGGCTGTACAGGAGAATGGCCTCAGCATTTTTCTGTTAAAATAAAACCCAGCTTAAAATACCTTTACATTTAGAGTTCAGGCTCAAAACAATACCCAAGGCTCTGCCTCCTCTTCCACCAGGCCCCATTTCTCTGAATCTGTAGCAAGCCAGACTGAGCTGTGAGGAAATTCAGCTCTGTACCATTCACTCCTGTAACCATCCAGCCCCCAAAATACAGAAATAAATAAAAAGCACAATTTAACAGGAACTGCAAAAATCAGTAGAAAATAATAACAAGCAGTCACATGGAACAGTGCATCAGGTAGTCTACCGGATGCATTAAATCAGCCAAATTTTTCCATCTCTATGAAGTAACCAGCTAATTAACTAAATCTGTTGCTAAGGCACATGTGACCTACATCTTCATGTCCAAAATGAAAGCCTGTGGCTTTGCCACATAGCACCACTCCTCTTTTCTGATACACTCAAAAGTAAAACATCTGGCATCATGTTGCCTTTTTATATTTCTAATACCTATTTTCCAGTGTTAAGAAACAGCCCTTTAATACTGAGCTGTATGTGGTTTTTCCAAAATAAGATTTTGCTTATAAGTTGAAAGATTTATTGCTTCACCTTCAGAGGGACACCTTCTGGTTTGTTTTTTTTTTTAGCTAGAGACAATGATGTCCTTGTTGTTACAGACATGCTGTTGCCTTGATGTCTCAGGAAAAACTTGGAAGTAGCCTAAATGTATACTTCAGTTTATAAACAAAGTCCTCCATCCTTTCCTCATGCACTGGGTGAAACTAAAAAAAGTTTCACATGCATTTTGCCCAAGACCACATGGAAAAGGAGTGTAAAGATACTAAACACCCTTGAAAGATGATGCAGAAAAAGAAAAGTAAAGAAAAGAAACATCCAACAAAAGAAATAAGCAACACTGCTTCATATGAAGAGACTAACAGATGTCTAAGGATTTAATAAAGACATGTTTGTATATATTCAGTGAATTAAATCCACACAAAGCTTTAGAATGCAAATGCAGACTGCTTTTAAACATGAAATGTAGCATAATTAGTCCAATTTGTTTAATTAGTCCTCTTGTTTAAATCATTTTGAGATCTGATGGTTTAATTATCTGCATAAATAATACAGACAGCATAAGGGACAAAAATTCATCCTGTGTTTATCTGCTGTTTCTTAAGTAGAAGATTTGTGAATATTTACATGTGCACTCACAGGAAAAAAATCAGGTTATGGTAGGCTTGGAGGTCTTGGGAGAGTTCATCCTCCTGCACAAATAGTGGTAACTTCAGGGTTAGATCAAGCTGCCTGGAACTTTGCCCAGCTGAGTCCTGAGTATCTCTGAGGACTGAGATCCTACCATGTTTCTGGTCAACCTGTTCCAGTGCTAAAGCTCCCACTGGGCTGAGTATTTGTTCAGTTTATCTGATCAGGATCTCACTATGGTCTGCCTCCATTGCAGATTGTCCTTTCCTCCTGCACCTCTGAGAAGAGCCTGGCCCTGGCTTCTCTGTAAACATTTCATCAGCTGTTTGAGGGCTGCAGTTAGGCCCTTCCTTAGCCTTCCCTTTTCCAGGACAAACAAACTCACCTCTCTCAGCCAAGTGCTTCAGAGCACATAATGTTTCCTATGTGCCCAACACTTCATGTAAGGTTACACTGGTTACCTGGTTACACTCTGCAAAGCCAAGCGTCTCCAGAAGACATTTTAGAGCATCTCTGCCAAACACGCAACTCTTACACATACCCCAGATTATGCTACTTTTCTCTGTAATGCACTCTAGCCTCCTCATTTGGGCATGTAAAGGATCTGACAGTCAGACACTCACATCCACATTCCCCCTACCTAGTATTTAACTCCTCAGAGAGTTATAAAATTAGGTTGGTATAGTAATGTAAAAACTGAAATGTAAAATTAATTACCCTTACACATAAAGGCAATGACAAGCAATGCAGACATACATTCTGTGGCCATATAAACATACAGATTGAGTTTACAGTGTACTCAGAAATACTGCAATGAGGGATGTATGCAAGCCAGAATAAAATGTGACACTCTGAGTAACAATGGGATAGATTGTTTTCACTACAATCTTGTAACAGCTCAACTGAACCATGTCTTCTGATATGTCCCTGTCAAGACTTGTAAAAATGCCAGACTTCTGAGCACCACCAGCATCACGAAGAGCACCGCTGATTTGAACCTGCGGAATATGAACCTTAAAGGAATGAAGATCTAAAATCTCCTGGCTGCACTCAGTGGTCCCATCTCTCTTGGATGCAGGACGAAATTGCCTCTGATTGCCACTGTCTTAACTTGCTATTATTTTAAATTTTTTTGCAATTTTTTTTCTTAGGGGAGTCTTAAAACAAAAAATCCCATTAACAAAGGGAGATGTGCTTATGAAAGATAGCTGGTGATGTCTGGCAGAGCTTTGTCTAAATAACAAATCTAGTTTACTAGATCAATACTAAATACAGCAGTGGCACAAAAGTTCTCAGCAGCATGACTTCAATTCTTCACATTCAAGACATGAACATCTAACATGTTTTAGCCAAACTTCTATTTTTTTCTAATTTAAATTCATCATTCTATAAATCAATTACATGTTCTAGTTTTATTTAAGAAGGTAAGTACCTTTGAACTTATTAGCTAAAATTCTGGAGGAGTATCATTCTCCAGGAAGAATATTTAACTCTAGAAAATGTTCTGTTATAATTATCAGGGCAATAAAAGGAAAACAAAACATCAAACAGTAATCATAACTGTCACACTCCAGCACCCAAGACAAAAACAATAGCCTGTCATTCCTAATATATCAGGTGCTTGCTTCATATGTTACTTTTTGATAATTGGTGACAATCGCAACAAAACCTGAACCATATTAATACCTCATAGAACATAAATAAAACATTTTATATTAGATTGTATACATACTTAATTTTACTTGAATTTTGAGGAGACCACATCCAGGTTTCCATAAAAGGAGTGCCTAATCAATAAAGCAAAGTCTGCTGTGTTTAGAGTTAGCCTTTGGTAGGAAATATCTGGATTTAGTTTTCTGCAACTTGGGCAAGTGATCTGTTAGACAGTTGGATAAAAAGGACATACAGCCCTGCTCGTGTTTGATCTAGAGGGTAGTATCATCTACAAGTTAGTATCCAACAGGAAAATAGGAAAACAGGTGGGTAAATCCTCAGCATTGGGAAACTCTGGCATCTTTAGTCATTAGATAACAACTTAGCAGAGAATTGCATCTAACATTTTTACTTTTGTTCCTACGTTATTATTTTAAATGTCTGTCATTTCAATAAGAACACTGTGGGTCTCATTTCTGCATTTAAAAACATATTGTCTGGAGGTTTTTTTCTAATTTCAAAGAGAAGAGTCCTCTGGTATGCAACAGGCATTCCCTTTTACATGCTTCAACTTAAATTTGCTTCTTCCAATCATGTCATGTAAAATTCAAGTCAGCAAACCTTACATATTGTCATGGTTTAACCCCAGGCAAGAGCCAAGCACCATGAAGCTACTTGCTCATTCCCCCACCAGTGGGATTGGTGAGAGAATCGCAAGGGTAAAAGCCAGAAAATTCATGGGTTGAGATAAAGACAGTTTAATATGGAAAGCAAAAGCTGCACACACAAGCAAAGCAAAACAAGGAATTAATTCACTGCTTCCCACATGCAGGAGGTGTTTAGCCATCCCCAGGAGAGCAGGGCCCATCACACATGTTTGTTCCTTGGGAAGACAAACGCCAACACTCCAAATGTCCTCCCCACCCTTCCTCTTTCTTCCCCCCACTCTATATACTGAGCATGATATCTTATGGTATGGAATATCCCTTTGGTGATTTTGGGTCACCTGTCCTGGCTGTGTCTTTTCCTACTTCCCATGCAACCCCAGACCTCGTGCCAGCATGACGGTATGAAAAGCAGAAAAGGCTTTGGCTCTGTGTAATCTCTAAATTATCAACCCTGTGTTCAGCACAAATTTAAGACAGCCCCATACCAGCCACTGTGAAGAAAATTAACTCCACCACAGTTAAAACCATTACACATATTTATATTTGTATCTATACCTACTCTTGTTATCTAGTCACTATTTTTGAAGTATGCTTCAGAATGAGCCTAAGAGCCAAAAAGAATACTTATCAACTATAAAGGAAGTGGAGGGCAATGACATCAATTTTAGATGCCTAAAATTTAATGTAAACTAAACCATGATAAACTCAACCACATTTTTGCTATTATTTCCTTATATTTTGCCATCACTGATATACTCAGGTGTAGATTTACAACTAAGAATTGCCTTTGGATGCCCCTAGTGTGGTTCCAGCTACTTTGGTGTCTTGCAACCAAAGTTTTAAGACCACCCTCCACATCAGCTGTAAGCAGTGTATCAGCTACTCGCTACATTAATTTGCTGGATCCCATCTACTCTACTGAACAGGTTTATCCACTTCCATCCTGCATGGTGGTCCTGCCTGCATCTGTGTTGCAGTCCCTCTCAAAATAGAAACACAATTAGCAACAATAAACAGCATTCAACCACATGCAGAAGTAGCCACAATTACCCGAGTGACACTTACCAGAATTAAGCAGGATGATGGACTTAAGGCACACAAATTCCTCCCCTTGAAGGTTCATCATGCGGAACCGAGCAGCAGTAGCCAGCAGCATGTCAAAGATTTCCACCATGCCCTCTACACATTTCCCTTGATTCCTGTATGAACACCGTCAAGGGGGAGACATTCACAGTTTTCACCTGGTGACAGCATAAGCTTTTCATTCTCTTGGACCATTCCCCTCCAATTTGGTTTCATCATCTCACAAATGAATGCATGACTTTCTACTCTGTGCTTATTTGATATATGTGTAATTACAAGACTTAATGAGCGATCAGATCTGCTGTTTAGAAATATACTACTTTTTAGATATGCCTTTTATGAATATTTATGAATTACTATAGGAAAATGCAAAAGAAATTTCAAATTAACATATGACTATTCGACTATAATTTATATGGTAAAACAGTCTGAGCATCTCCTAATTTCATTGTAACAAGAATGCTACAAGCACAGACACATCTGCCTCAAGTCTTAATACAGACATGCTGTTGAGAACCTGTAGCTGTTGTCTAAACCCACAACAGATCCTCAGACAAAGCAGCCATCTTCCTTTTATACTATAGCCTGAGAAAATTCTTTGCATTTCTCAATCACGTTCAAACTGAAAACTAAGTCAAAGAAGGAGTGGGGTACCTGTGAGCACTTGTACACCAATTGCCTTTCAAATTCAAATCCATGTTAAGCTTAGTTTGGTGCTTGAACTAAAATCTACATCTCCCTTACCCCAGAGCAGTGCCTACAAGCCAGTGACTATGGAATATGACAGAAGTTATTTAATCTTCTTTCAGAAATATTTAAACAAAGCAGGACAATATGAAGAAAGCAAAGTGAGAGATACTCCCTTAAAACAGTCATTAGGTTAACCTACAGCAATATCTGAAAACATGGTGTCCCAGGCAGGTTTTCCAATCACTGTTACAACAGCACACAGTAGGTGGCTTTTCTGTCAGAAAGAGATGATCCAGCCTTGGGAATGGAAACAGTAGAAAGGTGTGTTTAATAAGGAGGATCAGTTGCTCGTTCTCACCTCAGGTCCCTATGGACTACCAAGCGGTTGCATGCCGAGCACTTCTGAGAAGTGCCTAATTTTTCCCACACATTTCACTAGCACTTAGCTCAAAGCTGGATTTTCCATTGTATGGCAGGCATCTGGTCACAAGCTGCAACATTTGGCAATGTAACTTTTATGGCCTTTTCTCTCTCCTGAAAATTTTGCTGAAGAAATTGTGGCTTGAACTACAGCAGCATTTTGGGTACGAACAGCACCATTGATAATTTCACATATTAGTTTCCCACAGATGATGGAAACAAGTGCAGTGCAAAATGTAAAATCTGAAAAGCTGAACTGGATGTATTCAAGTATATTTGTCCTCTGTTTGTACATCAATAAAAAAAAACAAAGGCAAAGTAGTATTTAATAGCATCACTGTCTAATAAAAACCAACTCAAAAGGAGACAAGAGAATGTGAACAATTGCAATTACCTAAAAATCTTTTTGGTGTGCTGAAATTTAAAATCTATGAAAGTAGAACATATGTGAATTTTTAGCAGGACAAGTTCCACTGCTTCTGATACATTTGCCTACAACTAGAAAAATATTAACTTTGCATCTACAGAGTTAAGCACAGTTTCAGAGGACTAGAATCCCTTAATAGTTTTGCATTAACCTAAATAATGCCATGATATAGGTTAGTTGTTTGTAAGACAAGACCATTTAACATGGCCTATGGTGACTCACTCATAAAATGGACAAAATATTTGATAGCAAGTAAGAATTATTCCTAACTTTTTACAAACGTAGTTCATGGGACTGTCATTTACAAGATTAATATTCCAATCATGATTCTCTTGCTGACAAGTGCAACCTCTGGACAAAAACCTCTAGTCCTGCAACACAGTCCATGCACCTGAATATTCATGTGTGTCTATTTCCCAACAACTGAACCCATATGGTAGAGGATAAATATTAATTATGTAAATTTTACAGATTCTGAATACTTGTACTTTTGCTTTGCTATCTGCTGTGTGTGAAATACTAGGTTACTCCATAAGAAAAAGAAGAGTACTTCTTTAGGTGAAGTACTTTAGGTGAAGTTAGACACCTAGCTTTAGGTATTCATGTGTGCAAAGAATGACTTAGAAATTTCTGCTTTATTTTCATAGTTAGGCAGCAAATCCAGCTCTACAGAAATTGGTGAGAGCTCAGTATCATTGAAATACAGGGTTCTAATCAAATGTTTTTATTATCTAGGCTACAACACTGATTTTCTTCGTCAACCAACAAAAACTGTCTGAAGTAGGAATCTCCAGTTCTCGTGAATTGCCTTCTAACTTTCTAACATAAACATAATATTATCACATCTTTACAGCTATGTGCCCAGTTGATAGGAAGGCCTAACTAGGAAGGCCTAGATAACTTTCCTGGAGGACAAATTAAGCAATAGATTTGAAAATTATCCTTATCCCACCATCATGCTGTAGCCTTTGTGTACTCTCATCTTACTGAAAATAAGACAACAGCTTGTTTACTGCAAATCATCAGAGTATATTCTCAGTTGAATCCTTGACACATGGCTATTGGGAAATATTTAGAAAAGTTAAAGCATTTGAATTAAAGGACTTAAGTGACTGCATCAAAGTACTGTGTGCATTAACTTTAGTAGGTCTATAGAATCACAGCATCATCCAAGTTGGAAGGGATCTCAGGATGTCTTTAGACCAACCTTTCACTCAAAGCAGGATCAGCTCACTCAAGACTCTGTGCAATTCTCATCTTGAAAAGTCTCCAAGGATGGAGACTACACAACCTCTCTCAGCTTAATTATTTTCAGCAGCATGCTTTTGTACTCCCCTGTATCCAATCAGAATCTCCTCTGCTTCAATTTATGACTCCTGTTTCTCAGACTCCCATCAGTCATCTCAATAAAGAGTCTTGATAACCTCCTTGTAGATTGTAGGTTACACAGGCTTAAAAGCTCTTTCTTCTCCAGGCTCAACAAATCCACTTCTCCCAGCCACAAGACACACACATCTCCCAGCGCAAAGTGTATTCTAGATAAAGACTAATGAGTGCAAAATAAAAGCAGGATAATTGCTTCCCTTGCTCTACTCCCTACACTAACACTGACAGTGGTAGAAATACCAGGTCTATTCCACTGTATGTAGGAATAAGAACACAGATTTTATTTAAGTCTTGGGGGAAAATGAGATATTCAGGAATGTCTTTTACAGAAGCACAGGAGCAAATGAAAATTAACACTGAAGGATGTTTAGGTGAAAGGAACAGGGACTCAAGGACTCAAGGGATATTCTCATCAAACTTTTCATTCAAAGGGAAAAGCCAAAGACAGATGTACTTGTCAAAACAAAGCCTGACTCTGCATTTGTTATCTCTCTGTGTTCTTTTATCTTGGTATTTCATTTAATGACAAGGGACCACCAAGAACAGATTGGATCCACAAGACTAGGAGAGGGAATATCATCTTCACAAATGGATTTAGCAACTTGGTGAAGAAGCCTCTAAATAAGGCTTGTCATGGGATGTGTTCCTAAGCCTAAAGACAGTTTAGCAAACAAGGGAAGTATCACTGAGAGAAAGCTGCAGGGACAACATTCACATTCCAAGTCAAAAGCCTGTGCTCTAACACAGAAGGAGAATTGGAAGTCTGTACACAGTCCTCAAGTGAATAGATGATCTTTATGTATGTTAATGTATTCTATATAAACTAGTTCTAAGAATAGACATTGGTAAACACTTTCTACTCCTAGGCAAAGTGATGCACTAAAACAGCTTAAGAAAGTGGAATGCCAGGAAAGCTCCATCTCCAAGGATTTAAGACCTAACCAAGAACATCTATTGGGATGCCTTAAATACAGCCAGACAGGCATTGGAGAGCTACTTAACTAATGGAGTATTCCACCCTTTTTACAGTTCTATTCTTTATCAATCATTAAAATATGAGGAGGTTGTTATCAGCAGTGAGATTTTACTTCAGACCATCCTGCATCTAACCAGTAACATTAGGGATTGTGGAAAAGGTTAGGGGAAAAGTAAACAGGAAAAAATTAAAAACTGAAAAAAATGAATCCCCAAATCTCTAGAATAAAACAGCAATCTGCAAAGAACAGGAGACGGGGAGAAAAGTAGAGACTACTACATATAAACTAAATCACAGTATCAGTTGCAAATCCTGTTGATGAAGAGAAATGAGGAGATGCTGGATGGTCACATGCAGAGAGCTGTGGTCAGCAGCTCATTGTCCATGTGGAGGCCAGTGATGAGTGTTGTCCCTCAGGGGTCAGTGCTGGGGCCGATACTGTTCGACATCTTTGTCAGTGACATGGACAGTGGGATTGAGTGCACCCTCAGCAAGTTCACTGACAACACCAAGCTGTGTGGGACAGACGACACACTGGAGGGAAGGGATGTGCCATCCAGAGGGACCTTGACAGGCTTGAGAGGTGGAACAATGCAAACCTCATGAAGTTTAACAAAATGAAGTGCAGGGTCCTAAATCTGGGCCATGGCAATCCCAGGCACACCCACAGGTTGTGTGGGGAAGTAATTCAAATCAGCAGTGAGGAGAAAGACTTGGGAGTCACAGTGGATGAGAAGCTCACCATGAGTCGTCAGTGTGCTCTAGCAACCCAGAAAGCTGATCGAATTCTGGGCTACATCAAAAGGAGTCTGGTCAGCAGGTCCAAAGAGGTGATTCTTCCCCTCTCCTCTGCTCTCATGAGACCCCACCTGGAATACTGCATGCAGTTCTGGTGTCCTCAACATAAGAAGGATGTGGAACTGTTGGAGCAAGTCCAGAGGAGGTCACAAAGTTGATAAGAGGACTGGAGCATCTCCCCTATGAAGACAGGCTGAGGAAGTCGAGGCTGTTAAGCCTGGAGAAGAGAAGACTGCGTGGAGACCTCATAGCAACTTTTCAATATCTGAAGGGGCTACAAGGAGCCAGAGAGGGACTCTTTGTTAGGAATTGCAATGACAGGACAAGGGGTAATGGGCTCAAACTGAAGGAGGGAAAGTCTAGGTTAGATTTGAGATTACCCAGAAAATTTATAGAGCTCCCCCCATCATGCTGTCTTA